TAGCTTCTTTTTTCATACCGAACTTCATGGCTTATAAAAAGGCAACTGAAAGAATGTCCAGTAGAAAAAGTCTTTAAAAAACTCATATCTTAATATGAATTTTACCAACTAATTACATACAAGAACATTTACTTTTATTTAATGAAAACAAATTCTTAAAAAGAATCAATAAAACATATTAAAATTCGTCCCACTCTATATAGATATAATCTGTTACATGTTTAATTGTATAATTAAATAAAAGTGTTTCAAAAGTGATCATTCTTTTTAATTTTCCAATCATTTCATCATCAACTGTTGGAATTCGAAAACATAATAAACAAAGATCTTTATTACAATATTCTTTAATTTTTTTCAATATACATAGGACAGTCAAAAAGTAATGGCAATTGTACTTTAGTTCCTTATAAGAAGCTTTTAAAACCTTTCTTTCTATATAGTCTGATAGAGAAAAAGAATGCTCTATTTTTCTATGCTATTTGATTATACTTTAACTAATCTAATGATAATAAATATTCGGTAAGACTTTTTTCATTACCATATCTACTGGATGACAACGGAAGAGACAGATTAGTTTCAGTCTCTTAACAGGATTGTATCAACAATCAAAATATGCTATAAGACGCAGCGTGAAAAGCTCTACATTTTATATACGACCAATTATTGTCTAGTTATACTGTTTTGTTTTCAAAATATATAAAGTTTTGAGGGACTCAACTTTGGGTATTGCAAAAACTGGTATCACAGAATTTTCGTTTTTATGAAGACAATTACAGTAAGCTTTACTGTGAAGATTGTAGAGCTTTTCACGCTGCATCTTATAGTATATTTTGATTGTTGATACAATCTATTAAGAGACTGAAAACTGCAATGCAAACTTTCATCCAGTAGATATGGTAATGAAAAATGTCTTACCGAATATTTATTATCATTAGATTAGTTAAAGTATAATCAAATAGCATAGAAAAATAGAGCATTCTTTTCTCTATGAGACTATATGGAAAGAATGGTTTTTAAATCTTCTTATAAGGAACTAAAGTATCATTGCTATTACTTTTTTACTACCCTATGTATATCGTAGAATAAATTTGAAATCTATATATTTGATATAATTAACTTTGAAAGATTTCATATAAGGACATAATTCCGAAAGAAAAGAAAATTCTTCCATTTCATTCATTTTCTCAAGATATACATTTGTAATTTTACTTGACTCGATTATTGAAGACAAAACAAAATGTTCTTCAAACTTTAACATTCTCAGTTCATATAATGACAATGAATGAATTTTTAATGAAATTAATATCTGGTAATAAATATAAAACTTTGATTAATGAACCAATAAAATATTTTTCTTCTGAAATTTCCAAATTATACACTTGTGTTATGGTTAAAATGCATTTAGTAAGTATTGTCACTAATCTTTTATTATCATCAGAGTCAGCATATTTCAGAGTAAGTCAAGTAGATTTGAAAAGATCACGAGAACAATTACAAATCTTATCTTATGTATTTTCATACCATCTTTTCTAAAAGAAATAATCATTTCTTTTTCGTATAAAAAGATTTGCTCGGTTTATCTGTATGGACCAACTAAATAAATGATAGATTCATTATTAATTACAGCTTCAAATATCCATTGTCGTTCAATCCAAAAGGATGGAACAAATTGATTCAGTTTATCATTATATATAGAATATTTATATACAGGATCAGCACGTTCATAATATCGTAAATAAAATTCTTCTAATTGAGGTAAAGGTTGCAAAATTAATTTTCTCCAACGAGAAGCATTAAGAAAAGTTATATCTTGAAAATAAGTATTAACATGTAAAACTTTTAATTTTGAATATATTTTTCTGATAAATATTTCAAATTCATCAAATTTAGCATAGTACATATGCATCGAAAGATTTATTAAATATGATAATGTTATTGGTGATATAGTCCGAATATTTGAATCGATCTCAAATTTATGGCATAGATTAAGACGACGAAGTTGACGTGTATAAGAAATTATAATATTAAGTTTGTTAAGAGTACAAAGATATTTAATGGTACTCTGTTGTTTTTTGATAGCTATCGGCAGTGAGAATAAGCTATTCTTTCGATGAAAGATGAATCTACACCATTTTAATGTTGGTAACGTGAATAGTAATCGATAAATGTCATTTAGATTTTCATAAGTATTAGATGTTTTAATACTTAAAGAGAAAAGACGAAGTAGACTAGTTAAGTCACTAAGAAGTGAGATAAGTCTGTTTGATTCAAGAGCACACAGTGAAGGTTTAATAGTAAACCATAAGAAAAAACTATCATTTTGCATTGATAAACATACTATCATGGAGACTACTTTATGCATATATCTACGAAGAAATTTTTTCTAGCTAGTTCTATCTCCTTCTTTATATTTTAAATGATGAATTTTAATTTTAAACAGTAGAGATGGAGAATTGAGAAATTTTTAAAAACGATAATTAAGATTTGGGTGTGGGTGTAAGGTAAAAACTAAAACCACACCCACATCCACACCCGTACTCCTCTGATATATGTATATTAATCATCATATGACACTCGTGAACTCTTTGTCAGTCATTATTACAGAAAGAAAAGAAAAATGTCTAAGGTTGGTTTTTTTTGTGAGTCAATAGTGCACGGAGTAGAAAAACAAACTCAGGCACACAAGCCAAGAACAAGCAGACGATATGTGAAAAGAACTCATAAAACAGGAGAATCATTCGTTCTCCATGATCAATGAAGTAGTGTCTGAGACGAATTTTATACAAATCTAATTCCATAATAAAGGATAAAAAAAAATGAATCATTTTTCCCTATTCTTTTCTTTTCTTTGCTTGGAATTTTCCAAGATAGTTGGAATTTTTTTTTGTAATATATATATGTATATTGTTTTATTTTGCATAATAGTTTAACAATTATTCGTGTCAATTTTAGTGATAAACATGTATTGATGTTCGAAAGAAGGTTTTTATATTTTTTATACAATGTTAGAGAATTATAGACACATGCGGGTGTTTTGTTTGTTCGTATAAAAGAATTTAGTAATCTGATTCTTCAGATTAATGATATTTATAAATTGATTTTTCTTTTTATTGTAATTTAGTTGATTATAAGAAAACAGTTATTTTCTAACATATGATATTGATTGGATGTTTTTGAACAGACTGGGAATTTTCCCAGTTTAATATTTTCGTTGTTTTTTCTGTTATGGGAAAAAATGGTTTTTATCTTCACATATATAAAATATCGTTTTCAGCATGTGGATGATTAATACAAAGTAAATTATGTTTTAATTCACATCAAAATTTCATTTGTTTTCATGTTCATATTTTTTTTTCTTTATATTTTCAAACAATATTTACATATTTATTAGTTTTTTTTTATGATTACTTGTTTTACGTTTATTTCAATTGAAAAAAATCTCAAAAATTCACATGACATCTTTGACAAATACATTACTGATTGTTCAGTTGTTGTCTACAAACATTTCACTAACATCCTTATTGCCTAAAAACGATGTGACTATCGATGAAAGTAATAAGTCACTTGCGGAATTGTTTGATTCATACATACACGACCAATCTCGTTTAATTCATGATAATGGTATAAGAGTAGTTCTGATATCGAAGAATTCTTATGATACTTGAAGTATTAGAAAAAAATAATTATACTTTTCTCTTCTTTTCTTTTTTTTTAGTACATTATGTGGATCTTGTAGTACTCTGGTATGGTGAGAAGAACTCGTCATTAAAAACGGCTCTTATTGAATATTTAATCCCTGAAGATATAACTTTAATTTTATTTTCAATAGAAGAACAATTGTGGCATTGGTTAAATATTTATTCTTCACGAAAAATTGCATATTTAATGATTCAAACAAATATTAATATTCAAGATATTGTGCGTCGTAGCAGTGCATATGCTAGTATTCATTCAATTCTTATCCATTGTTCAACTAATGAATTAACTATTTTACAACAATTTTCAAGATTGTATGTTAAAATTAATAGTATCTTTACTGACGATACGCGCGCGTTCTAATTAAATTAATCATCGATCTTGCTTTTTTCTACGAAGAAATAGATGATCAAATATGAGAAGATGAAAACAATGAATTCGATACTCAAAGGAACTATGATCGTGCTGTCAAGCTGTGTAATTTGGTAAAGAGACTGTAGCAAGTATGAATTTCTTTTTAGTGATTTTAATATTGTGAGAAAAAAATCTTTCAGAAAATGTCTCATAAAATTGTTTATTTGAAAAAGAAAATCATTTTGTTTTTTAAATAAACAATATCAATCACGAAGAAATAACAGAATACAAAACTTCAAGAAGATTCTTTCAGTTTCTAAATTATTCGAGAACAAAAAAACAGAATAGAGACCTGTGGTTTGTACCTTTCAAAGGATTGTTTCATAGTTGGTTTAAAAGTGATATCATTTTTTGCTGGCTTTTTTCATCGAATTTCATAAGAATTTTAACTCAAATTATACAAAAAAAGTAGCCAAAACCACCTTTTATTCGTAATAAAATGTTAATTCGATCTTTCGAATAGTGAAAACAGCAGGCTTCTATTCCTCTTTGTTTTCGAATTATTGAAAAATAGTTACATGCACCGACTTTTTTGACAAGCAATAGAAGCTTTTATGACTAGTCATGGGCAGATCCACAAGAAACTGATTAAATAACCCTTATTTTTTGTGTACTCAAAAAGTGAGTACACTCTAGAATCGGCCAGTGTGTCCGGCCGTCCGTTTACACGATAACTTTTGAAAGGAGAGTCCGATTGCGATGAAATTTTCTACACAGTTTAGTCTCAACAATATCTCGGTCGAGTTCGAAAATGAGAAGGATTGGCCGAGCCACTCCTGAGTTATTGCAAAAATAGTCATTTTCCCCTATGTTTCCCTATGAGACGATTGACCCTTCTCTGTTTTCGCAAAAAACTTTTCTTATCATAGTCAAATAAAACCCTAACTATTATATACCATTCGATCGAGAATTTCACGAGCTACAAAATGGTATATGAAACATAAGGAAATAAGAAAGCTAACTCACCTATTGCAAAGATAATTAAACGGAATTCGGTTCTGTTATTGTTTACCCTCTAATTGGTCCAAAATTCGAGCTCTATCTTCCAATTACAGAGATGATAGTTCGATGTTTCCTGGGGCGGAGAACTCGAATCTGTACTCCACTTGCCTCGAAATCCCATTGATTGAATAGTAACCAATAGAAATCAAGTTATAGGAAAAACGATTTTCTTACGGTAAGTCAAGGCGAAGAGTTCAAATCTAAGCTATATTCATTTCCAAATCCTATTTATTGAGCAGTAGCCAATAGAAATCAAGTGTTTATAGAAAAGATTTGCCAGGATAATTTTTATGTCCAGACATTCTAGGATGACTCATCTGTCTCATTCACTTTTTCAAGTATACATAACTCTCGAATTTAAATCCGAGATTTCCACATTTATTTATACCAAAATATAGCCCATTCAATTCTGCATCTAATGATATATTTTTAAAGATTTCCTCGATTTTCCATAACAAGAAAATCGACGAAACACTAAAAGTCTCTTAAATTTTTGACTATAGAGAAAAATTCTATGTCGCTATACATTCTCAGCTAAGAACAAATCTGATGAAACATAAGGAAGCTATGTAGATCTCAATCCTAACTACATCTATATGAGCAAAGATATTTATTTTTTATTACCTTTAAAAAATCATTAACAAAAATAAAAAGTGTCTTAAACTTTTGTGGTCTATTTTAGATAAAATGAAAAACTTCAAAAAAGAAGTTACTAAAGTTTTCAATATTATTAATGAATAGAGACTCAGGTTAATCCAACGGGCTCTTAAACAACAGTAAACCAATAGAAAATGGTGACTTGATGGATACCTAACATTTTTCGAATAGGGATGTTAGTCTACAACATAGATATGGATGTATAACGAGCGACGACTGCAAATATCGACGGAGAAAATTTACACAGCCAGAATCATTGACAATTCTGTTTTTTTTAATCTATGACAATATAGAAATTGACTTTTTAGAAGATCGATTATAAACTATTGAAAATAAATTATCTCATAGAAAAATTTTCCAAACCCAATTCTTTTTTTTTTTTGTATTTGTTTCCTTTGCAAAATATTTTTTCAATCTCTTTTTTCATATTTTAAAGTGAATAATGTTTAAAACTAAGATCTCGTATTTGTGATTTAATTGATAAAATATCGATAAAGTTTATTGAATGAGAATAATTCAAAGTCTTTGTTTTTTTTGAATAAAATATTTCTAATTACATATCTAATTTTAATTAAAATTTATAAAGATACATCGAATATATTATCGGAATATTTCGCTTTACATTGTAGAATTTCACCTTGAATTTTCTCTTAATTGAGAAAGATTACTCAAACAATTTCCTTCAACTTTTGACCGTTGCGTATCTAATTAGAACTGAAGGAAAAACAATACTTTTCTGTTATAAATCGAATTTTTTTTGTTTAACATTAAAAATTCGGAAATAATTAATATATTTCAATGGAAAAAAAATTCTCATTAATAATGAATATATTCAATTGTTCTAGTTTTTATAAAAACAAAAAGGGAAAGAAAACACATCAATATAAATAATATTATCGAAGGAAAAAAACAAAGTGTATTTTTCAATAAATTATATCTTGAGAATTGCTGATAATAATAGTTAATAATTAGGAATTAATTTGTAAACATTATATTTATTCATGAAAAAAGAAAACTAATATTAATTTAATAAAAAAAAAATAAAAAGGAAGATAAATAAAATAATAAATAGGCACTAAAGTAATAAGCTGACATTAAAACAAAAAATTTAAATAATTGATCTTCGTCTTTCATTCG